GTGGAGCAACAGCAGCAGCGGCGGGCAGAGCATGAGCGGCAGTCCCAGCCGAGACGGCGGCGGGGGCAACACAGGCGGTGCCCGCGGCAGCGGCGCGGGACCTGTCAGCACGTCGCCCGTTGTAATTGACAGGGAGCTAGCAGCTGGCGACTCGCGCGCAGCTGGCGGCGTGTCTGCGCTCCCCCCTGGAGCAAGCGCGGGAGCAGAATCAGCAGCAGCAGCCGCAGCAGCAGCTGGAGGAGGATCAGCAGCGGCAGCGTCAGTTGCGGGGATTCACAATAACAGCCCGTCGACGACGGCGCCGCGTCGGCGCATACGGAAAGGGGCCAAGGGCATGATTAAGGGGGTGAAAGGCGGCCCGGAGAACAGCAGCCACTCGTTCCGCGGAGTGCGGCAGCGCACGTGGGGGAAGTGGGTGGCGGAGATACGGGAGCCGCGCAGCCGGAAGCGCGTGTGGCTGGGCTCGTTTGAAACGGCCAGGGAGGCAGCGCTAGCATACGACCGCGCCGCGAGAGTGTTTCACGGGTCGCGAGCGAGGTACAACCTGCTACTTGACCCCGACGCCGTTGGCGTCGGTGGTGGCGGCGGGGGCACAGGCAGTAGCACTGCGTCGCAAGAGCAAATCCGGCTCAGCGCTTTTGGCGGCGGCGGGCCGAGCGCCGTCGGCGGCGGCGCCGCTGGAGGCGTCGACGCCACGTCACTTGCCAGTGACAGCACCGCTCGGCTCGGTGCTTCAGCTGGTTCGACTGCTGGCGGAGCGGCGGCGGGTGCGGCGTCGTCCTTCCGCCTTCCCTGCGGAAGCTCAAGCGCGGGGCTGGAAGTCGCCAGCGCTAGCGCTCTAGACGCGTGGGAGAGTCTGCGCGTCTTGTCGACCGTCGGATCCGGCGGATCGGCTTCAGGGACGATGATGACGGGCGGGGATTATGCGGCGGCGATGGCTGCTGCGTCGGGTAACGGCAGCTTGGCGGGGGTGATTGGCCTGCTGCGGGCGATCGCTAGTAGCAGCACTACTAGCGCAAGTGGCGGCATGCTCTTAACGGATCATTCCGTCGGTGCTGGTGCCGCTGGCGCTCCGACTGCCGACGATGCAGTGATGGCGGAGAATTGGCACGCGTCAGCGCTGCGGAGTGCGCAGGAGGACGACGAAAGGCTTGCGCCAGGCGGGGGATTCGTTGGGGGCGAAAGAATGGGGGGCGCGCTACGGGCTGGGATGGGGGAGGGTTTGGCGGGAGTGATGGATGGCAATGGCGGGTCAGATATGGATAGGGTGATGCATTTGCTCGAACAGAATCATCAACAGCACCACCGCCACGCACAAGCACATGGGGATGGGCAGGCGCATGGGCAGGAGCAGAGGCATGGATATACACAAGCGCAGGGGCATAGACATAGTGTAGAGACTTTAACAGGCATGAACTCGCTCCCTAGTGCCATCTCAGCCTCTTCTGCAACCTCCCCGCAAGTCTCCCATACCCATTGGCGCCCTCCTTTTCCCGCCCTTTTACCTGCCACCACCGCCGCTGCTGCCACCGCCGCTGCTGCTGCTGCTTCTGCTGCTACTCCCTCTCCTTTTCCTCCTGCTGCGCCCCAGTTTCATGTGGCTGCTCCTGCTCCTGGTGGTGCGGGTGGTAATGCTGCTGGTGCTGCCGGGGGAGATGGAAGAGGAGGGGAGATGTCATTAGCTGTGCAGAATCACACCCTGCAGCAGCTGCTGCAGTCAGCCATGGGTGTGCCATCGTCCCTGCCTCCTGCTGTGGCAGCAGCTGTGTCCGCAGCAGCGGCAGCAGCAGCGGCAACGGCTGGAGGCTCGCACCTTTCTCAGAGCAACCACCAGCTGCTCGCCTCCCACAAGGGGCTACAGACAGACAGCTTTGCTGGCGCATCCTTAAACCCGGAGATAAACCCTGGAGGCTTGTTCTCTTCCTCGCCTTCCCTGTCATCCCGCCTGCTCCAGTCCTTGCATACGTCAGCGTTTCTGCAGCAGGCGCAGCAACAAAACAGCAGTGCCACACACCATCTCCCGTCGTTCCTCCCGCCGCACGCCAACCCCTCTCTCCACTCGAGCCTTCCCATGACAGAGCAGCAGCAGCAGCAGTTGCTGCTCCCATTGATCACGCAACAGCTGGCCAACATGAACCGAGCAGGAGAGCATGACAGCAACGCCTTGGCTCAACTGTCAAGCCTATCTGCACCCTCTACTGGTGCTGCTTTTGGCTCGGCTGCTGCTGCTGCGTCTCACCCTATTGATGGCGCCCAGCTCTCCTCTGAGCCCAGGGGTCTGCATGGCCTGGCACACGCTGTGGCTCGTGACGGGAATCTTGACCTTGGGAATGCCTTGTTCGACCGCGGACTTGGAAATACTGGTTCTGGTGTTGGTGCTGCTTTTGGTGGTGCTGCATTCGCCGCTATTGGTGGCGGTGGTGGTGGTGGTGCTGCTGCTGCTACGCCTGGTAGCAGTGGAAGGGAGTTCCAAGCAACCCTTTACGCAGCAGGAGAGGGTGCATACGGTCAGGGCGGGAGACTGTCGGGAGCAGCAGCTTTCAGGGACGAAGCAACAGGTAATGTGCGACAATTCATGTGCACCGTGTTCCACGATCGCACATTTCCACAATTGCACCATTCGATAAAGATCCATCACACTCCGTGCTCCATGCCTCTGTTTAAACACTCCCCTGTACCTACCTTTCCCCCGGCCCCTGCTCTTCCCCATTTCTTCCTCCAATCCCTCCCGTACTTCCGTTTCCTACCGTTCAATCCCAGTAGGTGCAGTGAACCTCCGGCCAGCAGACCTCTCGGCACACGACGAGGCAATGCTGCAGGCGCTGTACGAGCCAGCTGCCCTCATGACCGACCCTAACCCCACAGCCTTCATCCGAGCCAGCCCCGCACTGCCCTCCGTCGACTGGAACATTGCTGCTGCGCTGCTGCAGGCTGCTGGTGTTTCCCCGCACCCACACTCGCTGCAGCAGCAGGAGCGCTTACCAGGTATGTCGAGGGTTTTGGATTTTGATGAGAATTAGGGTTTAGGGTGACCTGGGTGGACTGTTGTAGGCTAGAAACATGGCTGTCCGGGCCTATTGCTCTTGCTTCCGCTCTCTTTAATCGTTCCTGCGTGTGGTAACCCAGGACTTATATATTTCCTGCACTTTTCTCTTCCGTTCTGATCTGACGGCTGCAGGAGCACTGGGCGCTGGAGGGCAGACCTCGTCCGCTGCTGCAGCAGAGGCGAGTGCACTGAGAGACCATCCATCCACAGTCCCTCCCTCGCTCTGGGCTGTTGGCCGTGGATTTCTCACTTCAGATACTAATGCCTCAGCTGGGTCTAACATGGCACATGCAGCATCCATGGCTAATAACCAACCACCTCTGCATGGATTATCATCATCCGCCATGCAAGCCCCAGCTGTCCCAGCCTTCAACTCTTTACAGCCAGTCAACACTCTGCCTGACCCTGTTGCCGCCTCTCAAGCAGTCTTCATGGGTTCTCTTCCTACTCCTGACCGGATTGCTGCTGCAGGCCAATTTTTGTCGAGAAATACAGCACCCACCCCTGCTTCTGGCTCTGGCAATCAGGGAATACACTTGGAGGAGCCGAATATTCCCTTCGGCTACGCAGCCGGGGGGGGGCTTATGGAGCAAGGTGACGAAGGGTTTGGTATCTGGCCTCTTACTAAGCCGTCCATGGCGAGCAACGAGGGTTTGGCTGCCCATGCAGATGATGCCCTCAGGAATCTCGCCTGCAGCAATCAGGACGACCCTACTACGGGGTTCCACCAGTGATTTCTGAAACGAAATCCAGTGTGTCGCCTGAGCGATTTTAGCTCAATCACTATAGTGGTCAATTAAAGGCGTTAGGACCCATTCTTTTCTTAGCGGTCGGTAGGTCTTAGTTCCATTAATTGCAATGCAAGGCTACTTTTTGTTGTGAATGTGATCACGAACATCATCACTGTACCTTACCAACATGCCAGCAATGATCACTTTTAATGAATCTCCCGTCTGGGATCACCGTTAAAGCGACGGGCAACTTTTGGCAGTGTTGGGTTCAGAAGTTTTTTTTTTTTAACCAGGCTTGCCAGCGCGAAAGTGCTGGCTGGCGAAAACCAGGATTTCGTGCGGACACTTTCCATCCGCAGTAACAGTTCGCCAGGGTTCTGGGTTTTGGGTGGCAAATGTGCACCGTCGCTTTAATTGGAGAGAACTGACAACACCAAGGAAAGCAGTACTACCAGGCTAGCCATTCGTTTCTGTCCTGCTCCACGCTGTTCCTCCTATCCTATGGACTGCCATCCGCTGTCGCAGCCTCATCGCTAATGGCGCTCCTCGCGCATCTCCGCGCGGCGTCTCGAAGAGTCGTTTATTGCGAGCCCACCGTCTGGATCCGAACCTGGCTTTCCGGGAAATCTGCTCCCCCTCCTGCTTCCGCTTTCCTCCCCTTCCGCTCGCCAACCGGCCACTCCCACTTGCTAAGCACAGCGGCGAAATCAGAGGTGTGTGCTGTTTTGGGTAATTTTAACCCCACGATCCTCTTCCTGAGTGATCGTGCTAAGGAGATGTGCTGTACGTCTTGGGTAAGACGCATCTGGTTCCATCACCTCCGTCGCCTCCGTCACCTCCGTCACCTCCGTCACCTCCGTCACCCGTCACGTCCGCCCCGTTTGCGAAATCTGCCACGTCGCTGCTACATTTTTCCGTCACGTGCAATATGTCGTGCCAATGGTGTCTAGAGATTTCTGTGTTTGTGCGTTGTGTCATTCCCGCCTTGTCAGGCCGAGTGTGTCTCGCGAACGATGTTCAGTTGCCAGATTCAAAGTTGAATCATCCGACCGAATGTTCTCTGGTTAAGAGTTCGGATGATTCGTAGTTCTTCTGAACGGATATGAATCCTTCATGCTCCTCTTGTTCAAAGCTTTTTGGCGCGCGATACTCTTCTGCTATCCTGCTTTTCCTTCCCGTGACTCCCTGCTTCTCCCTCCCTTCACTCCTGCCTCTCTCACCCTTCACTCCCTGCTGCTCTCATCCTTAAACTCCTCTCCCTGGTCGGCTGGGCAGGGCACATCCGCAGCGCAGGAGGCAGCACGGAGTGCAGAGGCGAGTGGCGGGACGCAGGGAGGAGCCCCTGTTGCTGCCGCATCCACTAGGGTTGAAACAGGGGGTGCGGCCCACGGAGCAGCAGCACTAGCAGCTGAAGCATCACCATCACCAGCTGCAGCAACAGTCACTGAAGCAGCAGCAGCAGCAGAATCGGCTGTACCGGCAGCAGCAAGAGCAGCAGCAGAGCCTCCGTCTTCTGACCCTGCAGCTGCGCTTGCTTTCTTCGCTGGTGCTGCAGTGGTAGGTGTGACAGCTTGGGACGTGTATTGGGCTTCAAGGCCCAAAAAGAAGGCCAAGGATGAGGACGATGATGAGGAAGATGAAGAGGACTGATTCAGTCCACACAATATTGGATGCCATATTCTGCTGTAGATCCTGACCTGACCAGGTTTCACGATAGCATGTGATGTGACATTCGTTTTAGGGGGGTGATTGTTACGGTAGTAATGGTTAACACTTTGCAGTCTGGTATGCAAAGCTGATTGGAACTTCTACGGTAGGTGAGGAGTGATTGGTGTACCAAGTTACCAACCAATCCAATCTGACAACTGTGTGATCAGAATAAGGAATGAGGCTGGCACGTTAACATGCACAGAGCACACTTAAATTTGCACTGCCTATGCATTACAAACATACACATGCAACTGACGAAAGCAAACTCCTAACACCACAGCCGCCACTCGCTTGGAGTTGCTCCAGATTCTTATGGGTTGGTGCAGGTGCTGCGTGTAAACGGTGGTGGTGGAGATGTTGCTCCAGTAGCTCTTGCTAATGCTGCTGTTGCTGTTGTTGATGATGTACTGGTAGTAGTTGCTGGTAGTCATGGTGCCTCTCTGAGCTTTCCAGTTCTGATTCCACCACACATCCGGCTGCATCCTCACTCTCCTCCGCCACTGCAATCCGATTCGACATGCATCTCCTCTTCGCCCCCACCATGCCTCCCATCCCTCGCACGCCCCCCATGGATGTCACACCTGCCACAGGGCCATTCACGCCTATTGATGTCACGCCTGCTCCCATGCCCACGCCACCAGCAGTCATGTCCCGTACTGTCAGAGGTAGAGGGGGAGCAGGAGCCGTGTCAGGGAAAGCTGTGGGTCCTAAGGCAAGCAGAGCTCCCATGCTGTGAAGGTAACTCTGTTCAACAGTCGGTGTGTGCACCTGCTGCATCTGCATTTGGAAATGCACTTGCCCTTGTGTCTGGGTCTGGGTCTGTGCCTGTGCTTGTGCTTGTGCTTGTGCTTCTGACTCCTTTTCTGCCTGCACTCGTGTTTGGTTTTGGGCCTGAGCTTGCGCCTGTGCTTCTGCTAGCTCCGCCTGTTTCTGTTGCATCCTCGCCCTGTCAATAACCTGCAGAGAAGGACACACATGGCAGGGAGGGAAAGGGGAGAGAGAGAGGCGTCAGACAAATGGTGATGCAACAGTTACAACATTACATCTTACAATATAACCATGCGGATAACATCACAAATATTCTAGGAACATCACAACCTTCTCCATTCAACCATCTATACTCTCCCATACCCCTCCATTCCTCGCATGTCCTCACCTCTCCCCTCATCCACTCCCATCACCTACCCTCCCTCCATTTCCCCCCACTTTCCCAGCCCCTCCCTTCCCCATACTCCACCCACAAACGCACCCTGGGACCGCGGTAATGACCCCTGCGCACAGAAAAGCTGTTGCCAGGCTGGCACTCCTGCAACCACCCATACTCCCGCCCCTCCTTCAGCCCCTCTCCGGGCGGCAGCGCGGGGAACTGCTCGGCCGGCAGCTCTCGGAAGTATGTGCAGTGGCGGCCGGCCTCTACGCTGTAGGGCGGCGAGAGGACGTCTAGGAGCGCGCACGGGGCGAGTGCGGTGAAAGCGTGCATGTTGCCTCCGCTGGTGGGGAAGAGCATTTCCACTGGGCATGGCGCTGCTATCACCTGGTCTTCCACTAGCTCCGCCAGGCGCGCTGGCGAGGGGAAATGGGGAGGGGGGAGGGTGGGGGGGTGAGAGGGGGAGAGAGGGAGGCGGGGAGAAGCAGGGAAGGGGAGGAAGGGAGGAAACGGGAGGGTACGAGGTTGGAGTGGGGTGGAGAATGGCTAATGGCCGATTCCGGTCGTGGGATGACTGACGATGGTCTTATTAGCGGGAGATGGAGAAAGAAAGGGCGGCCGGTAAACCACGGAATAATAATAAAAAAAGATACGTCGTGCAGCAGCAGCAGCAGCAGCAGCAGCAGCAGCAGCAGCAGCAGTCGTACGTTGTGTGGCAGCAGCAGCGGCGGGAGGTGCGGAGGGGAAGGCCCAGTCGAAGGAGCGCATGTGCATGCGGCCATAGAGCAGCTTGGACAGCACCGTCATGCCCGGGTGGTTGTGCAGCGGGATGCACGCCGACGCAGGGATGCAGAATATGCCTATCTGCACACGTGGACGGGGGACGTTGAACGTGGAGCACGCAGCACAAGACAGAGGTGAGGGAGAGAAGGGAGAGGACGGGGAGGAGAGGGAGGAGAGGCCGGTCGTAGCAGTCAGAGAGTGGGTCATTCATTCGTAAGAGAGAAACACAGAGGACGGTGAGGTGATTCTCCACGCGTGAGCAATTGGGGCGCTGACGATTCGTACCGAAAAGTCCGGGCATTCGTAGAGATGCAAGTATGTAATGGGGGGCGCGATTCGTCGTTCCAGAGGAGCAGGAACAGCAGGAGCCGCCGCCGCCGCGGCCGCTGCAGCTGCTTTTGCGGCAGCAGCGCCCGCTGACATGGAAAGCGACGTCAGAGCCGCCTCCCTCTCGCTCCCCGCGCTTGCGCCGCCGGAGCCGGCGCCGTTGGCGAAGTCTGCAGCGGAAGCGGCATTACTGCGCGCGACCGCGCTCCCCGAATCCGCGCTCGACTGGTCGCAGTGGTGAAGCCCCGGCAGGTCCGGAGTCGCGTCACGCATGCACCGATTAATAGACGTGGTTATTGACGTCGTTCCGCTGGACCCGCCGCTAACCTCGCCGCTGGATGCGCACCGCGGTTCGGCGGCGGTGGAGCCGTAGGGGCCATAGGCGCCAGCAGCGCGAGGCGGTGCGGGAGAGGGGGAGGCGCGGTGCGGGATTGGTCGGTGGAGAGCGGAGGAGTCGGATGACGTGGCGACGTCGAGTGCCACGTCGGCTGGGTTTATGCATTCTGGTTGGTTGGAAATGGAGAGGGATCGGAGGGGTGCGGAGACATGTAAGAGAGAGAGGGAGAGGAATTGAAGCTGCTCGTAACATATCCGACGCACTAATAGCTCACCACATCACCCGCTCATCCTTCCCCCCCGTCTCCTCTCCACTACCCTTTCCCCCTCTCCCCCCCGCGCGCCCGCCTTCATTTCTCCCCGCTCTCCTTTCCCATCCCCCCTTTTCCCTTCCCCCGTTCCCCTACCCTCTCTGCATGCTCACCAAGCGCACTGCGCACTCTCATCAGCGCCTGTCGCGTCGGCACCTGCCCGCCAGCAAACGCCGCCTTGCACGTGTCGAACAGCCGCTGCACCTTCTGCGCCGGCATCATCACTACCCCCGCGGCCGCCGCCGCTGCCGCCGCCGCCGCCTCCGCCGGGTCCGCCGGCAGGCGCTGTCGACGGGAGACCCGCGAGGCCGCAGCCCGACCGTAGAAGCCGGCGGAGAACCCGGTAGTGTTTATCGGAGGGGGGCTATTATCACTAACAGCACTAAACGTTGTGGCTGGGGAGGCGCCGGTGGTTCCGCCACCAGCGGCAGCGGAGGACCACGATTGCGCGGGGGTTCCGCGGAGACGCGCCGTGATCGCGCCGGGGGGGTGGGCCGAGAAGGGGGAGGTTGCAAAGGGCGCCAGCGGGAAAATTACGACTGACGACAAGGTCAGCGGGGAGGTTTAGGTCAGGGGGGCAGCCACGAGTGCTCGACTGGATTACACGCTCGTCTTCGATTGCGCTACAATTGAGAGAAGTGAGGCGAACGTTGTTGGGTGGGCGACGGAGGGACGGACGGGGGGTGTGAGTGCATGTGGGGCACGGCCGTTTCTCAAAAGCCAAAGAGAGGGATGGTCGAAGAATACTAGAGGGTGGTGGTGAGTTCGCCGTGCGTGAGCGGATGAGGCTAGATGTCTAGATGAGATCACAGTCGTAGGAACGAGCCTGAAGGCTTGGGAAAGGCGGCGCGCGACGGCGGCGAGGCGATGCTCGTGAGACGATAGCGACTGAAGTGAGGTTGAGGCGAGGCTTGAGCGGTCGTCGAACCTCACAGTCGACAGTGGAGAGGTTAATCACGCGGGAAGCTCCAGGTGCGGAAATGAGATGCGTAGTGGGCTACTAGGATGACGATTTACGAACAAAACTGCTGAAAGGTGGACGATAGAAGGGAGACGGAATCGGCTTGTATTAAAAATAGCCGTGGCCCGTGGTCACCAAAAATGCTGGGGGCTAATGAGTATGAACATTTTCACAAACTGCAGCAGCTGGACTGGGATAGGTGGGCAGTGAGGTGGGGTGGGAGCTGGGAAGCCGAGAACCACACAAGAATGCAGGGAACAGAAGCAGGAAACTATTGCAGCAGAGGAGAGATTCTGGACCAAGAGATCGCGGTGCGGAAGTCGAGGTGCTGTGCTGGGTGGGGCCAGGCGTGCAAGGAAGAAGAAATGCCTCGATGGAGGGAAGAGGGAGGGAGAGAAATTTACACCAGAGGAGGTTGAGTGATTAGTACACTACGGCCAACGCCAACAGACCGGGTGGGGCGGAAGGAGCGGAGCGGGCTGTGCAAGTGCGGCAGAACGAGCGGTAGGAGAGGAGAGGAGAGAAACGAATCCGACTCGGGGGTTGAGTCTACGAATGCCAGCGAGGCCAAGTCTACAGTCATATCGCTGGGCCGTTGCATTGCGTGCTCTAGGAATGAGGGCGACTGGAATGTGTCTGGTTGAGGGGTTGGGGGGGAACATCGAGTTCAGTGGGGTTGATGCAAGGGAAAAACGGAGCAAGTGGGACAGACGCGGGGAGCATAAGGCGGGCGGGAATGGAGAGCTTGTTGTGAAAGACAGGTGGTGTTCATGGGACACGCGGGTGGTGGTGGTTGGTGGGACGGGAAGGGAAGGGAGGGATGCTTGGGTGGGGGGCGTGGAGGAGGTGGAGTTGTGTGGATGGGATGGGTGGGATGGGATGGTGGTGTAGGAAGGAATGGAGGAATGCACTGCTCGCGAATGCGAAGCCGACTCGTCCCCACATGAAAAGGGACGCACTGCTCTTCCTCTCCATCGCTGTTGGCTTTTTGGGCTTGGAGGAGGGGGGGGGTTGGAAGGGGAGAGCTGGATGAAAATGTAACGCTGGAAGAGGCTTGCGTGGACCATGTTCCATTCGACCTCCAACCCGAGAAAGCACTGCAGAAGATTGCGATTCGGTGAGACGCGGTTAGGCTTGTTTTCTAGACACCCTTTGTGGTCGTTCTGACCCTGATGAGGCTCGTTGCAGCTGTCGCTATAGCACACAGTACTTGGATGTTGATGTGTTTCGGTCATTGGGATTTGGGTAATTACATTCTGGGTAACCAACATTGAGCCCGCTGACGTCAAAAGTCACCTACGTGGCTCGATGGTACCCGTCAGATCATGCGCGCCCCTTGGTGGTACCCATCTTCCCTCCGTGGTACCCATCTTCCCTGCGTGGTACCCATCAACTGTGCGCGAATTCCCTGACTGGTACCGCAACATTTCAACCGAGCTGTACACCGTACAACAAGGGTGTCAATGCGTTTTTCACTATATTGTCTTAACGTTTACAAGCTCAATAGAGTCCGAAGCCCGAAGTGCCACATAATCGGGTCAAATTTTCAAGCGCATTACCTATAATAATGTGTAGAAGAAAAGCTGAATTTAGGAAAACATTGATTGTGTAGATTTCTTTAGGCTCATAAACATCCACATTATAACGTGCTATAATTTAAATCACCACAGATATATTGCATCAACCGAAACACAAAAATTAACATCCGTGTAACAAACGATCAACTGACACGTAAGGGTGGTTTGGTAGCGGGAGCTATCAAACTGCAAATGTTAATACAGTGCCGTCGCCACATGCCTGAGTTCTGGACGGACCCGAGAAGTGCTGCGCTGGACCCTGCTTTTGCTGCCCTCCTCAAGTTTCCGCCGTTCATCAAGTCCTTGACGCGGCACAAACGAAGTGGCACGCGAATGAGCGCTGAGGAAACCATCAGCTTTGTCTTGTGTGGATCTGGAAGAACGATAAGGATGGAGAAAGAAAGTGGTCAGGGCAGGACACACATGTGTTCGTTGATGTTACAGCTGTAATGTTTTTTTCGCTGGTGTAAACTGCCCAGAAAATATCCTTCAAAGCGTGTGTCTGGGGAGACAAGACATGCACAGCCTGCCACACATTGGCTTCAGCGGCTTGTCCAAACAATAGATTGTCCAGCGCAGCTGTGTGCTGGTTCTTGGAACCAGTTACAGATCTCTGCCAGAGTGGACAAGAAACACGATTGGCCAAGCATCAACCAGCGGGGCAAAGTGAAGTGATTTCATCACACCAGGAAACGCGAGTTGCAGCCCACGCGTCAAAACACGCGACTTCATTTCATGCCATAGTGCAGAAGATTTCAACTTCTCCTAAATGCATACGCTCTTTATAGTGGACATTATTTCTTATGTCTCCTCAACATATTTCTTCCTTTGTTGTATTTGATTTCCTGATTATATGTAAATTTATAAATAACATTGATTCTAAATTATAAATTATTATGCTTACATAGACACCTCTCTTATATCGAAACGGACTTAATTGCGTAGTGAAGCTTTTAGAATGTCTAAAAACACTACGATAGTTTTGGCTACGCTTGTATCGAGAAACGTCGGTCTTGATAGTGACTGACATCCTCGAATTGTTGCTGCGATCTTACAACTCAAATGGAACTTGTCCTCATCCCTCACCTCCTCTCACATTCACCTACAGATTCATAACTCTGTTGAGCTGTGGTGGGAGGGAGGCACTGAGAGATGAATCTTGGAAATGACCTAATTTCTCTTTCGAAAGAATTTCGAAATTTTGTAAGCTCCCACTCATTCTTTCTGCTCTTCACCACTGTTTTGTTAGAATCCACTCGTCGTTGCAGGAGCAGTCGCTACTAATGGTTTTCGCTGTCTCGAGTCTGGCCGCGTCGTGCGTACAGAAGATTCATGGCTTCCAATTCATCACGACCCCTGCATGGTCACTCGCCGATCCTTCGTTCCATTTCCTTGCACCGTCACGCCTGCACACGGGTTCTACAACCAGAAGTTTTTTCACGCAAGTGACTCCTCAGCCTCCTTCGTCGTCGCTCTCTCTTTCTCCCCAGCGGACGTCTGTTCAACCTTTCCGCCGGAATGTTCGACGTAACGCGATTAAGATAGACCGCAGTCGTCAACCTAGCAGACCCGAGGGCGAGGTGACAAGCGAAGCGGATTTGGACACGTGTCCGGCGGAGTGCGTTCGCGAGATCAAATCGCAGAGGGAGCTTGACGTGATTCTAGAGCACGCGGACCGGAATAACATCTTAGTGGTGGTGGACTTTTTCCGCACGGCGTGCGGGAGCTGCAAGTACATCGAGCAAGGGTTTGCGAAACTGTGTCGCGCCGAAGGCGATCTGGGGGATCCCGTTATTTTTCTCAAACATAACGTACGCACCATTTGTAGCTTTTGAGACATTTCGAATGTCCTTCCTTTCGAAGATATGCTACGCACCAATTGTAAATTGCGCGCTGCCGTCACATAACCAGCTTCTGGTTTTGCTGCATGTTGACACAGCCGAAAATCGAGGGGGGGAGTAGGAAGGAGGGGGGGAAGGGGGGGAGAGGGGGGAGGAGAGGGGGGGAGGGGGGGGTTGGGACAGTGGGAAGGAGATGAAGGAAGGGGTGGTGTACAAGAAAAAATACTCGCTTTTCTCCCCTCACGCAAATCCTCAAGAACTCCAGTTTTCCCTTTTCCCTCCTCTCCCTACCTTCCCTTTTCTTGACCCCTTTCTCCTTCGGTCATTACCCTCTTGACTTGTTCTTGCACCGTTTCGGTTTCTCATGGCTGGCTGCCATGTGGCACCGGTGCAGGTTATGGATGACTATGATGAACAATCCGACATCGCTGAAGCACTGCGGATTAAGGTGAGACGGGACTGGATGCCTGCTTTGTAGCCAGCAATTATGAAGGAAGAAAGCAGGAGACAGGAAATTTTCCACAGTTGCACCTCAGTGGGGACGCGTGTGCGTGTTGGGTGGGCTACTCAAATTCGTCATCACAGCTCATATTCCTGCATAACCTTTCTTTCCCCAATCAGTTTTTTTTAACAGACACTGTTACGGACTCTGTGAATCATCTCCCCCTTCGTCCGCCTCACCCCTCTCTCCTCCCTACCCTCTTAACCTTTACCACTTCCCTCCTCGACCTCTTTCCCCACCCTTGTTACTGTCCTTTCTGTCCTCGCAATCTCACCCATTCTGTCCCACCCTTTCTGCCCAACCCTTTGTACCTCTATCCTGTCCGGACCTCCCCATATGACACCATGCGTGCTCAGGTGGTCCCTCTCTTCCACTTCTACATGCACAAAACCCTCGTGGAATCTTTTCCCACACGTGAAAAGGCCCGCATTCTCGAAACCATCCAGAAATATGTGCCAAATTTCCAGTCAGATGACGAGTTTCTCGACGATGAGTATTTCCCGAGTGACGAGGAGTGAAGAGGAGTGGACAGAAATGACTTGAGCTTCTGTGGTTTGTCTCGTGTGCTGGTTGGCGTGATGCCGACTTTCTTGCTGTTACCGCTTCGCTTGCATATTGGGTCTCGGTGTGGTCTGCCAGTTGATTGGAAGAGGAGATATAATCTTGCAGCTGCATGTGCTTACAAGTTCCAGCCCGCACATCACTGGTGTGGTCATCCAGCATTATGGTACTTACTTGTGCTTGTGTCTGTGCAGCGATTGGCCCAGGCCCATGATATATGTGGGTGTCTGCATTAATTTTGAATCTGTATGGTTTTGAGTCTGGACCGGGGTCGTGATGTTCTGGTATACCGTAATCACCCGTATATAAGACCCTAGGGTCTTATGATAATCATCCCTCAAAAAGCTGGGGGATATAATTAAATGGTATATATTTTATAAGACCCGGGTCTTTTCAAATTGGCATTTATAAGAAAGTAGTTTTGGAGCTCAATGAAGTGATTTGAAATTGCTCCGTTTTTAGCTCCTCCCAAAAATACTCGAATTGGTCTCCACACGGGCCGTACCCACGTCATCACGAACCCTATATGGGAGCTTCCTCCCATTGGCCACGAACACCACTTGGTTTTCACACGACAGCGCAGGGCACCGTTTGATGGCCCAGCGCGCAGTGTCGCCTCGGCCTTTTTAATTGCATTTTTGTAAAATCCCCACTTCTCTAGGATGTGGGGGGGTCTTGTAATGTTAGGAGTCGTTTAGGGGGGTATAACTCAGATGTACTCGAATAGACTACACCCATCCGTATTATAGACCCGGGGGTCTACAACTGGAGGGGGTCTTATATACGGGTGATTACGGTATGTATTCTTGTGTTTCGTTTTAAATCCCAGCATGGGTCCAGCGTGTAAGACAATCAATCGGCGCACAGCAGTTTTCAGTTTTTACCGTTTTACACCACGAGGCAATAGGACTAACCGCAGGGCCCGCCTTTATGGAGGCTTTGCCAGGTCCATAACCCACCACTTCCGGAGGTGGTATTTGTGGCAACGCAGGTATGGGTTTCTCAAAGCAGGCATGTGTAGTAATCAATACCGAAAATCATGTTGAAGTCACAGCAGCAACAGCACTGTCAGCATTGCAAAGCATTCAATAATCAATCTTGATTTATTGGATAACAAAAACAGCCATAGCAGACAGCAACTATGGCTTCTGCCATTGGTCCTTTGGTGCGCCCTTTATTGGCAGCACATGCCATGCGGCTGGCATCTGCGGGTGACACAACAAAAGGTAGTACAGTTTACCCCAGCCTACTGTCTTCAATGATATGCACTGCACTGCTGTGTGCAGACCCGCAGGCAAGTGCCCACTTATTGGGCTGTGCATCCTCCCGAGCTGGTATGAGAAGTAGCCCCAGCAGCAAGGCGCGCAGAACCTTATCTGGATAAAGGAGATTTCCTGCTCAGTCGTCCATGCCATACTCACACCCACCACCTATGCGGCCGGCCCAAATGTCACTCACACCAAGTCTCGCTCACTCCGCATCCATCAACAGAGCCTCCCCTGAAGAGAATGGCCCGCCTCGCAATTTCATGCCGTACCCACCGCCGCCCACCACCCCTACACCTGCGTGCAAGAACCCTCCCGTCAGCTCGAGCGCCCGTGCCATCTCCTCATCTACCAGTTGTGCGCGGGCGAAGCGGCAGAAGCGGCAGTCCGCCTTGCTGAGTGCTGACACCTGGTAGTCCTTGACCGTGCCGTCTATGAAGCCCTCCGCGTTGTCCCCTGGCACCACGTCCTCGTGTAATACATCGCTGTGCACTAGATGCTGCTGGGCTCTGATATAGGGCGGAGCCGGAGGCAGGGGGTGAAAGGGGGAAGGGGTGTGGGGAAGGAAGTAGTGAGGAGGAGAATGGAGGAGCAGAGAAGAGAAGGAAATGCAGGAGGCAGAATGAGGAATGTTGTGGAGGAGGCTTCAGTCCTGTGTTTTTCCTGCTCCCTTCCGAGCGTGAGCAGCTGTGAGGAAAGAAAGCGTGGGATGTGTAGCAGTGGTACACGGTTGTAGAGGCGACACCGAAGCCAAGCAAAACAGGCAGAAAATCACGAGGCGTTTAAAGAGAATCTATCAACGCAAATTGCCACAACACGCTAACGACCACCATGTTCATGAAAGCGCGTGCCAAAGGAGTGCTCACAGCCGTCCGATGAAGTCAGGTCGGAACGTCTGCCCCAACACGCCGTGCACGGAGGGCGAAAGGCTCGCCCAATCCACGCCGATCGACATGTGCACTGTCCCATCCGTCGCCGTGCGCATCGCCGCGATTTCCGGTCGTAGCGTGACGTGAAGGGTTACCACATTCGCCACTCTCAGTTCGTACACGTCGATCAGGTCGTTCCCGTCTAGCTTCCCCCCCACAACCCACGCTAGCTCCGCTCCCGGCCAAAGCTGGACGCTAGTTCCAGGGGTGTCTAACTCCCTAACTCTGCCGTCAACTACCATACGAGCTAAGTAGCCGTCGCCGTATTCCGCAGAGGCGCCGCGGCGTGCGTCTAAGATGAGGAGGTGGTGGCCGGTCATGACGGCGAGAGATCTAATCCACGTCAGCGCCTTCGCGTGATTGGCCCAAACGCCGTAGCGCCCGCCGAAGAACGCGTTGACCTGGACGTGGGCGTCGGATATTAACGCGTAATTGCGATTGGGCCGGCCTGGGTGACGAACGGGGTAAGGGAGGGAAGCGGGATTTTGACCAGGGCGAGTCCAAGATTCACGAAACCCGTTGAAACTAATATACGCTTCAATAATGGATACCCGACCGAATGCGAAGGTCGCTTGAGCTATAGAAGTAATAGCAGTAGCCAAGTAGCCGTACCGCTGAAGTCGAAATGCGAGCCGTCGGCGCCTGTGAAATGCGGGTCTCCCTTTTCGTTGGCGGTGCAGAGCGATCCGACGGTCCAGTTGGAAGCCGGCTCGACGCGGTCCGTGCCCAGGCCCTCCGCAGGCTCCATCCACGCGGGGCTGAAGCTCCACTCGTCCACGCACGCGTCCGCGTTGAAGCACGTGCAGATCCCTGCACACACGCACGCGCACGTGCCATCCACACGCGCACACGGCACGCGAATTGGCGGAGGGGAAGGCTTGGATAACGATAAGTGGTGGAAATGGCGGAGCCTGAGCGAAGGAGATGCACTGTCATGGTTTAGTATCACCGGGAAGGGGGAAGGAGAGAGGTTGCTGCGGCGATGGGTTATTGGACATTAAAAAAGATAATACAAACCTCCGTTGCCCTCTTCGCACGTTTGTTCGAACATCCAGTATTTCGCCTCCAGCTCGGGGACCTTGTTACGAAGTTGCGCGTTGTACGCGGAGCAGTAGCGATGACACTCGACCTCGGGGTGCGCGAGCGTTTCATCTCCCGTTACATTGAACTCGAGGTAGTTGTACATCTGCGTCGCCGTGAAGAACGCCTCGACCAGGAAGCGTGTGGAGCCCTCCGTACGATCTGCTGCTGTGACGTCGATGAACTTGCCTCGCCGAAACGTACCCTCGCCGCATTCGAACTTCGGGCAGAGGTCCGCGACGCATAGGGTAAGAGATACTGCGATGGTAAGAAACGCAAGGGACGTTCTTTTGTTCATGGTGGTAGAAGGCGTGACGCGTCGGGAATTGGGAGTAAGAACGGACGTTCTATGGAACAGCACTGGACCACTATTACGTAAAGTGCCGTGTCAAAGTAGGACCAGTTTCGCGAGAATATGCTAGTAGATGCAGTCGATTGTACGGAAAGACAGGAACGAGACAGGAAAGACGCGGAGGTTTGTTCGAAGCGCAAGGAGGGATGGTGATCGTAGAAATATATATTAGTATAAGAAAAGCTGGATGGGATTTGAGCGAAGTAAAATAAGCATTCTCTCAGCCCAACATTGACCAAATCGAGGAGCATGGGCATTATCATAACCGCGTCGCGGTGGAAACAACGCTGTCAGATGAGGATGACAAAAGTTGAGGGTTAGAGCGTTTTGTACGTTACAGTGCAGTATCGGTAGTTTTTAGTGTGATACTGTACGCATTCAGCGCGGTTCTTACACCGCCCTCGTTCCCCGTCGAATCGCCGCGATCTTATGGGGTGTGGCAGGAGCAGAATCAGCCACCACGAGCATGGGGTGTGGTGGGAAATAGCGGTCCGTAGCTGATTGGCGCTCGTTGTTTTCCCCACAATCGCAAAGCAGCGCCGGGCCAGTTGGTGCAACTGGGCGGAGATGGGGATGCGACTCGGAAACGAAAAGCCACCCCATAGTCCGCAAGGCCAGGGCAGAGCTGGCTCCAGCACAGAAAAAGGATATTATGTCGTAAAATATACACTGAATAAGGCGGATAAAGTACTGTATATAGATGTTACAATCAATATAGAAATTGGTCGTGGGTACCTTTGCTACCCACAAAAAGGGCATCAATTTTGTTTCACCGAAATACGCAATTGCCTTTGGGTAAAATTTAGGCTGTTACGAATAGTAATACTTGAATCTTACTGTGCACTCCTCACCGCAGCAAAGAGAAGCACGCAGTATCGCGAATGAACGCGAAGCGTCAGACGGTTGGAAACGACTCGAAGCGTCAGACAGTTGGGACGCATCTGAACCGTCGGAGCAGACAGCATCAGGCAGCTGCAGGCAGGATGGCTTCGGCGGGAACAGTTTCGTAACTGTTCGCGCCGCACGGTTGGTGTCAAATGTAATTCTATGCTTGTAGGCTACAGTGAGTAGCACAATAGGGAGTACAGTTGTTAGGGTTGCATATTTGTACTTCCACACTTCCTAGTTTCATTCATTCCGTTGCATTCCTATTCTGAGATGGTATCACGAGTAGGTTAGATCCTCGTTCGTTTTTTTTTTTTAACTAGCCTCCACGCCCTACACGCCCTCCGTGCTCTCGCGCCCTCCGCGCCCTCCGCGCCCTCCGCGCCCTCCGCGCCCTCCTCGCGCCTAGCCCGCGCCCTCCCGCGCTGTCCAGCCTGTCGCGCGCCCTCCTTAGACCTCCGCGCGCCCTCCCCCACCGTTGCGCGCCCTCCAAAACCGTCGTGCGCCCTCCTTAGACCGCCGCGCGCCCTCCCTCATCGTCGCGCGCCCTCCTCAACCGTCGCGCGCCCTCCTTAGATCGTCGCGTGCCCTCCCCTCCGCCTGTCGCGCGCCCTCCTCCGTCAACGCTTCCCGCACACCAGCGTGCGCTTACCACACACCTGCGTGCGCTCCCCGCACACCTGCGTGCCCTTACCGCATCACTCTGTGCGCTTACTGCATCTCTATCCCCTTCACCTGTGCACCGGTCCCACGCCATTCCTACTGCACTTGGCTCCCGGCTCAGCGGCTGGCAGCCGCTCTTCCCTCTGGTAGCGCCACCTAGGTTCGGTTAGAGCCCCGCCCCACGACTATTTTCTCGCCGACTGTCTCTCGTCGTTTTCCCCGCTGGCGTCCCTAGCCCTCCGTAGTTTTCCTCCTCGTTCTTAGCTTCGCCTCCGCCGTGCTCCAGTCGCCTCTAGCATGGGCTCCGCTATGGAGGCCCGTCGCCTCCGTTTCGATGCTGAGGGACGCCCGATCGAGTTCGGTACCTGGCAGCGCCAGACCACACGTTTCCTCACCAGCCAGCGTCAGGACGGCGCCACTCTGTGGGCCCACGCGTCGGGTGCTCTCGCGGCACCCCCGTCCCCCGCCGCCCTGCCGACCGCCCCAGAGCCCACTCCTACGGCCCAGGCGGACTACGACCGTCGGGTCCTGGCTCGGGACGTGTGGCTCTCTCGTGACGCGGCCGCTGCCCTCACGCTATCGGAGCTTCTCCCCCCGACTGAGGCCGCTCACTTTGACCAGGTGGAGACAGCCAAGGGGGTTTGGGATGCTATTGTGGCTCGCTATTCCACCCCCTCCTCCGCCTCCCTCAGTCGCCTCCTCATGCCGTTCGTGTTTCCCGACCTAGGCTCGTTTGCGACTGTTTCCGACCTAGTGACTCACCTCCGCTCGCTTGACGCCGGTTTTCGTTCAGCCTGTACCGACGCACAGCTCCTTGTTGCTCCCCCCCCCATGTGGCTCACTGTGCACTGGTTAGTCACCCGCCTCCCTGATCGCCTTGCCACTGCCCGCGACGCGCTTCTTCAGAAGCACCCCACTGAGCTCACTATAGACCTCCTTCAGACTGCTCTCGGGACCATCGAGAGCAGCCTCCTCACCGTTGCCTCCGCCACTGATGCGGTGGCCCCCCGTCTCTTTGCGGGGTGTGCCGCCCCTCAGCTTCCCACTTTCACCTCTACCCGCGCTTCTGCTGCTGTGACGGTCTCTGAGGACACCGCTGCCGTTTCTGCCGCAGACTGGCAGAAACGGGGCAAGAGTGGCAAGAAGGGCGGGAAGGGGGGAGGTGGGGGCGGTGGAGGTGGCGGTGGAGGTGGCGGTGGAGGTGGGAGCGGCGGTGGTGGCGGAGGCGGCGGCGGCGGCGGCGGCGGCGGCGGTGGTGCGCCAGGGGGAGGGGGCCTTGGAGGAGGTGCAGGACAGACAGGCCCACCCCCGGGTGGTGGCCCGACCAGTGGGGGCGTTGTCCCCCAGCAGCAGCAGCCACAGCAGCACCAGCCACAGCAGGGACAGCAGCAGCAGCAGGGACAGCAGCAGCAGCAGGCACCGCAGCAGTTCCAGCAGTGGGGGCCCCCGCTGCAGTGGGGTCCGCAGCAGCACTGGGGTCCTCCGCCGCAGTGGGGTCCGGGAGGCCCTGGGAGCACCGGCCGCAGCAGCAGCTCTTCCAGCTGGGCCCCTCGCCCCCCTCGCCGTGACGCTGGCCCCTGCACCCACTGGTGCCTCACCGGGCCGGGCAGCCCCTGTCTCTGTGGTCGCGACGACCACTCTGCCGCGCGGTGCTTCCGCCGCCTCGACGACCTCTACCGGGCTCGTTGGGGCCCTCTGGCGGTCACGCCTCGCTGGTCTCGCCTGTTAGCCCGTAAGATTGATGTCTTTGATCTGTCCATGGACAATGCGCGTCAGCATGCTTTGTATGTTGATGCTGACTTTAGTGCTGATGGGTCTGTGTGCTCGCGTGTTCGTAGGTTAGCCTGCTTGCCTCCTGCTAGTGTAGCCTTGTGCCTGTCTAGCTTAGGTGCTTGTGTTGCTGCTCTAGGTGCTTGTGTAGCGACTGGGTCAGGTGACCCTCCGACTGAGGCCTCTCTGTCGTTCACGCTGGACTCGGGCGCGTCTCAGTGCTTCTTCCGCGACCACACGACCCTTACGCCACTCCTCACTCCTCACCTCTGGACCAGCCGTTGCGCGTAGCTCCACCACCCTCCCGTGCCCTGTGGTCCCCTCTGGTGTCCTGCGCGGCCTCCACATCCCCTCGTTCACTCGGAACTTGGTGGGTGTTGGATACCTCCAGGACAGGGGGATCACGGTTACCTTCGTGGGGGGTGGGCGGACTGCAGTCTGTACTGACACTACCACAGGTGCTGTTCTGGCCACTTTCACCAGGGAGCCCCGCTCCGGTCTCTACGTTCTCCACACCGAGCGCTCCCCGGTCGCGTCCTCCCCTCAGGTCGCTGCGTCCCCTCCGGCCCAGGTCCCCAGTCCAGTTGCTGTGTCTAGCTAGGTAGTCGTGTCCAGTCCGGTCGCTGTGTCCTGTCCAGTCGCTGTGTCTTGCTCCTGTCGCTCTCTTGCCCACCGCACCGTCCTGTGGCACCACCGCCTTGGCCACCCGTTGATCCCTCGCCTTCGTGGCATGCTCAGTCAGGGACTTGTCACAAGTCTCCCACGCACCTTCCCGTCGCTCCCTCTCTCGCTTGCCCCTCCTTGCTCTCCGTGCGTCGCCGGTCGCTTACGCGCCACTCCCCACTCCTCCTCCCTTCGTCCGGCCACCGCTCCCTTCGAGACTCTCCACTTGGACGTCTGGGGCCCTGCCCCGACGCAGGGGTCTGGGAGAGAGCGTTACTTTCTGGTGGTCGTCGACGACTACTCCAGGTACACCACCGTGTTCCCTCTTGCGAAGA